AAAAAAAAAAAAAAAAAAAAAAAAAAAAAAAAAAAAAAAAAAAAATCGATGATCTAGCGTTTGCGGAAAATTAACGGAGAAAGGTAACGCGTACCTAGCTGTATTCATATTTGACAACTGCTCAACGGTCTGGCCACCATCTCCTAGACTTTTAATTATAGCTTTCCCAGGCTGGTCGTTACCTACAACGGATATTAACCGCGTAGCATTCAGACCAAGGCTGATCAAGGCGTTGGCGATATTTCGTCCGACCCCGCCGCAACTTTCTCGACTTCTACCGGCATGCGTTCTACCATCGTCCTGAAAGAAAACGTCGATTATTGATCCAGAATATGGAAAAGATGCGCCGCCTCTAATCGCGCGTCGAATACTACGGAGCTCGATTGATCGATCGTCTTTGAATTCTACATAATAACGGTAAGCGATCAGTAATTAACCTTCTTGTTTATATTATTTTTTTTATATTTCTGTTAAAAATAATTTTTTTTAATTAAAAATCCTATAGCGATCCCATAAAGAGATAATATATCTATATATGAATAATAACAGATGCTTTTTGTAAAAGAACGAATTAGAAAAAAATATTTGAAAATATGCAAAAATGAATACAAGAATTATTTTAATAGATATATAAATGAAATAATAAAATTTTATTTTTTTCTTTGATATAATTTTCGATTATTTTATAGTACAGATATATTATATAAAGCTGTTTTCGATTATGACTATATCTATAACATATGCTGTCTCGAGACATCATGTTCAAAAGATTAATTTTTCTCTAACTCGATGAATCAAGAATAAATATGGGAAAAGCGGGAAATTTTTCAAGAAGATCAGTATTTCGCGCCTTTCGCGCACATTTCTTTATCATAACCATTCAATTCGAGGATTTAATCTGAAGATACTTGCAAAATCATTGAACAAAAAGAGGACATCTTGAATTGATTATCATATTTATATTCGTTTGTGTTTCCTCCTATCTACATTTTCACAAATTTTTTCCTTTTGTCTTTTTATTTTTTTAATTGGCTTTTTTAATCGTTTTGTCTTTTTATTTATTTTCTTCGCGCATCTTTTTCCACATTATTGTATCTTCATTTTTCTTTTTATCTTATGATTTATATTTCTCATTTCACAAAATTATCCTTGTTAAATCTTATACTTTTTCTCAAGTAGTTTTTTGCTTGTTCTTTTCTTTCTTTTCCATGCATTTATATTAATATTTATCTTTCTAATGATTGCTTATCCTATTTCCATCTTTTGAAAATTATTTCTATCTTCCTTTTTTCCTATTCTATCTAAATTTTTATTCTTCTTCTTCTTCTTCTTTTTTCTCGTAGATTTTCCAAATTATCTTATTTTTTTTTTACTCATTTACTTTCATCTTGTCTTCTTTTTCCTCTTATTTTTCTTTACTCCTTATATTTTCTGAGATATCTTAATTATTTTCTTCCTCCTTGAATCTACGGTTGACGGCCTTCCTTCACTTCTCTGTTTATCCCTCGTCAAAGTTTCTCACTACCATTTATTTTGTTTCTCTCGCATCTGCATTTTCTTTCTATTTTCTTTCCAATCTCTTCTGAATCTACTTACATTATTCCTAATTTCCTATATATTCTCACAGATTTCCAATTTTCCTTCTCTCTCACCGCCACTTTCTCTCTTCTATTTACTACTCTTTCCCTTTCTTACTAGCCACGTACCCTTCACCCCTCAAAGCACACGTGCCACCACAGATTTTCCACCACCACGCTCTGTCTCTCTCTTAAAGCTACGTTTCCCCTTCCCATCGGCCACCCCTACCAACGCTCGATTCACCCCCATCGAGCTTTCTCCCCTCCAATGCCATCCTTTCTCTCGCACACGATCCAACCTCGCCACCGCTGCCTCTCACCGATCTTTTCTCTCGTTTCATCCCTTTCGAGTACACCCGAACCGATCGTCGATCTCCGTCTCGTCGGTGGTCGCGCTGTCTGTCGCCGACACCGTGCAGCGCGACCAGTCAGTCCGGTTGCCTACCTCGGGCGCTGTTGACAGCCACCCTTATACGCGAGAAAATTCTTCCCGATGCCAGCCGCGTTACCACCATTGTCTCTTCCACGATAGTGGCAAGAGATATCGCGATAGTGGCCGTCTTCCTCCCACGAAAAACTGCCGATAGAATTTCAACGTGGTGTCGTTGTGTGTCGTTTCTAGATAAAACAATCTTATATTATTCTTACCAGTGTATCGTGAGAAACGTGAAGTCGAGTAGTGATTCGT